GGTAAGGAGGGAAATTCATGAAATGTTTTACAACAGAAGAAAACAATGTTTTTGATTACATTTATTGGGGTGATATTGATTAATATGATATAGATTTCAAGTGTAATTTCTATGATACATCATCTGTACATTACATTGTGTGCCCAACACCCAAACATTGGTAAGAATTTGAAAGTAAGACAGCCTGGGATTATGAAAATTTTTCCAGGCAAATTACTAATAATACAGTTTCACAGTTTCCTCACATATTAATAATAACACTTGTCTCACAGAACTATTTTGAAGATTAAACTAATTAATACATGGAAAATACTAAGCATACCTAACATAAGAACCCAATAAATATTAAATATGACTATAATACAAAATCAGTTTCTGAAGTGGGTAAGAAATACAAAACCCACAATGCAAACAAGGTATTTTTCTAAATTTCTAAACAGTGAATCACTAATGATATATTTAGATATTTTAGAAACTAAAAGTTGAGTATTTAGAGAATTCACAGGTTCATAAGTTGCATTAAGGAATTTAATATCTGAATTTGGGGCATGAAGTTCCACACTCACTGAAATGCTTAATTCTTCAAGGAATCTTCTCGGCTGTAAACACTTGAGATGCTTGTCTCCTGGCCTTGAAACAAAATTTTTTAAAAAACTGTTAATTGTAAGCAGAAATCAATTAGTTAGAATACATACTATTCTAATATTTAAAAAAATCTAAAAATAATTTCAAGATACTGAAAATTTCTTAAGTAAAATTACAATCTTGAATTTAAGAAATGAAAAATAAACATTTTAAAATTCAAGCCATAAAAAAAATTAAATAAAATTCCAGATAAAGACTTACAATTTTCTCCTCTGCAGTAAGAACGCCCTCTACTGCCACTATCTGGTACTGTTTATGCTTTAAATTTCCCACAAATTTCCGAAGTTGCTTGAGACTGTTGGCCTCCATGTCTTGCTTTAATAGTTTCTGCATTTCTCGAGAAGGACATCCAGGATCAAATACTAGTAAACATAACGTTTGGTTTTTTCTCTCTTCAATTCCAACAACTGTTCGACTATGACCTATCAAAAAATAAAATAACAGCTATATATGATTTACCTACAGCCATACATACAGATACAAGTATGTATACACACACTGAATACTCTCTCTGCGTATAAGTGTGTGCAAATGAATGTTTAGACAATAAACATAGTTAGTCCCTCTGACATAGTTATCTGACCTCTCTCATTCCTAAGACACAAGCATTCAGTTCTACTTCCTAACTTCTCAGTTTTCCTTTGTTCAAGTTTAGTTTTCTAAAGGCTTCATTACAAACAATTTTCTACTGTGTCACACATTTTAGTTTTTCTTTCCCAATCCCTTGATCCTTCCTATTCAAAGATCTCAAATGAAAGGATCTGAAAATTACCTACCATAAAACAAAACTCCAATGGTTCTAAAAGGTAAACAAAAATAAATATATACTATATACTAGAATTTCAAAAGTTAAGCTTTACAGCTTGTATTCCTAAATGATGAAATTCCTAACAATTACTTCTCCTCATTCCTGTAAATCCAGATCATCCATTCAATATTTGTCAAACATGCCTGTGCCGGGCACTAGTCCAGGAATCAGTGATACAGAGCAAGCAAAACAAACTTTCTTGCCTTCATGGAACTCACATCACAACAGAAAGAAATACTCTATAAGGAGGATAAATAAGGAAAGTATATATTATACTATATCTAAAAAAATAAAGCAGGGAAAAGGAATAAGAAATGCCAGTGGTGGGAAGTTGGGATAATGAGATGAACTTTTAGGTAAGGTGGTCCGGGAAGCCTCACTGAAGTGACACATGGGTAAAGACCTGAAAAAAATAAGGGATAAACAATAAGGGAAGAGTGAACCACGCAGCCCTGAAGATACCAAGGGTATCATCTTTCATTACCCAGGAATAGGCTGAAATGAAAATGTAACTATGAAAATCAGACAGGCTACTATCACCCTACTCCTCATGATCAGACTCTTAACCTGTCCTAAAGCAAAAGCTAACTCTTTGTCGTATAAAGACATGCTTGTAAGTTACAGTTATTGTTGCTGAGTTGCACTGACCTTGATGTTGCAGATAGATAGGGGGCTTAGATGTACACACTGCTTTTGGACCCCCTTCCCTCTCTGTAGAATAATAGTTCAGTATCCATTCAAACAGGCGAGGGTGCGTACCCAAAGGACCAGTTGACTTGTGAAAATCCACAATACGGCACCTAGAAAAAATGGACAGAATAAATTATTTAGAGAATATTTTAAAAATCATTTCATCAGTGGAGTTAATAATACAAAAATATTCTTAGTTTAAAACTAATTCTATCTCATTTTCCTAAGAAGAAAAAAATGCAAATTTTATTTATATAAAAAACTGTTATTTTATGAGAAAATATTTAAATAACTTCATAATAAAGTTGATGACTTATAATGAAAGTTAAAAAGATTTTCTGACATGCAAAATCTCCATAAATAAATGAGATTTAAATAAATCACCTACATAAAACCCGAGACACAGCTTTTATTCTAAAGCCTCTGAACCTGACAGTCAATTGGAAGCCAACTTTTAATTTTAATTCCTTGACAACCATTCACATTTATCAAACATATGCTGAGTATTTTTCCTGTCAGCTCTCTCAAATTCCAATAATAAATAAGAAAAGAATACCTGTAGAAATCAGAAAAACCTGTGTACCCCATCTATCTATCTATCGATCTCCTACTTGGCACCAGACACCGGTTGTGGTATTGTTTCCTCAAGAGGAAGTCAACCTTGAATAAACAAAATTATTTTAACCAGTGTGTATACTTTCAACAACTGTTTTAAAAAGGTCAGGTATAAACAAAAGCACTTTAAATACTTTATTTTCACTTTAAAGTATAGCATAGATATCCTGTCCTTGTGTCTGTTGGCAATAAAATCTCCAACTGTAATGGTTGTCATTTTAACTTCAGTAAGTTTAATGTTGGTAACTTTCAAACTGATTAGTACTGAGTTTTAAAGGTTGAAATCAAGTTTTGGAGAGTTGTTAAAAAGTAGAAACGACTTTTGGGTTAGCAGTTGACTGCATGTTTGTATTTAAGAATGTAAATAGTACCCAACAGAGTATAACTCATGGAGTGCAAAAGGAAGACGTTTAAATAACTAGCAAATAAATTCAGGTTCATTAATAAAAAGGCTTTATTCAAAGGAAGACTAAACTATTTCAGGTACCAAGAAAAAGCTGGATACATTAGGTATTTTAGATGGAGATTTTCCTTTCCTTAAAATTTTTATAAAAGCTCAAACATGATGAAGTACATATAATATGAATGTGTGAACAGATTGGCAAAAAGGAAAAAACAATTTAGAGGACATAAAACTAGTCTCTTCAATTTAAATCATTCAAGTAAGTTACACACACACTCGTTATTTAAAATTTTTAAAATATTTTTAGCAATAAATATATCAACTAATATGGTAGAAATAGTGTAAAACACTGGATAAATTACCTAGGAACAAACATAAAAAGAAACTATGGAATCATGAAGCTTAAGGCAAATTTTCCATTAAAGATATCAAAGGCATCTACCTCTGTTCCCTCTCGAAAGCCCAACGACAAAATACTGAAGAAGGAAATGACTATAAAACCCAAGGACAAAGCGAATGGGGACAGATAAACGGTCACACAATTCTGAAAAATGGAAAACTGAAAGCTTAGAGGCATAAGGTATTGGGGAGAGTAGTAATGGGGACAACAATATGAGATTAATTGGAAGTTTGCATAAAGAAGGCAAATCACTTTTCACTTCCCCCAACACACACGTACACACAGGCAGGAGCTATAGAAGAAAAGTGGAGAACTCTTCTCTGAATGGCCTCTGAGAAAAGATCTCTCTCTATACTGATATTTGAGAGTTCCCCAACCAAATAGCAAGTTTCTACCTAAGACTCCTTAAATGAAGTCTGTTACTCTGCAAACCCCATGCAATCCCACAAAACCTCCAATCAGCTTTTTAGTGCCTTGTTCCTCATTCTAGGAATACACAATTAAGGATTTACAAAAGGTAGAATGACTTCAAAATGAAAAAGACTAAAATAAATAGATATGGAAAAAAATTAACATGGAGGAAACAAAAGTGAAAGGAACAGAAAGATACAAAGTGTTGGAAAAAAATTTTGCAACCATAAAAGAATAGGAGTCTATGAAACTTTACCCCTCAGAATTAAAAACATGATTGCTAAAATAACATTTCAACAGAGTAGTTGGGAAATAAAGTTGAGTGAATCTACACAGTAAAACAAAAAGCAAATATATAAAAAAGACATGACCAATAAATTCACAGTTAACCTCTGAGCTCTTTCTACATTCCAATCACAGTTCCAAGCACTTTATTATTCTCATTTAATTATCACTATAACTCTATGAAAGAGTTACTATTTATATGTTCTTTTATCAATGGTAGAACTAGGATAGAAATACTCTATAAATAAGATGAATAAGGGTACAGACAAATCAAATCACAGAGCAAATAGATAGGAAAGCCAGAAGCAATTACAGGCATCTGACTCGAAAGTCCAAGTTTTTAAACACTATACTGAGGTCTTACAATTCACCATTCCAGATTAGAAAGGAAAAACAAATCTCCACACAATATGTCAAAATCCCACATTCCAGGTGAAATTTCATAATATCAGGGCTAACAAAAGATGCAAAAAATTTCCAAATAAAATAAAATCAGCAATAATAATATTTATACAGTCCTGATGTAAACTCTAACTTCAAAAAAGCTGAGATTTAACCATGTTAGAAGGATTGAGAGTGAACAGGTGGGAAATATAAGGGGAATGCAGTAGACAATGTCTAACACTGATAAACCAAGAACAAAAGCCATGAAAGCATATTATTTAAAAATGGGAATGATGGCTGCTTCCGATAAAGACTAGAGAATGGAAAGGAGCATGAGATAGGACATGAATTTATTATTTCATATAAACCTTTTAGTGCTACTTAAATTTTAATTTTTAACTACTGCTTTGATAGAAAAACAAACAAACAAAAAAACAGCAACCATAAAACCTCCCAGATGTGACAATAATATCACCTTGGCTTTTTAGGTACATACTTTACCCTTAGGGAGGTCAGAAGTGTATATATTTCACATGCTCCAATCCAGGCCTTTGTTCCCTGTAGCCTGTCATTAAGTTGAGAGGCACCCTGAGGATCAAAACCTTCCCTCCACGCATCTTCAATCATAGACTGAATTTTTGGAATACAAGGAACCGACATACCTAAAATCATACAAGCAAACATGTTACATAGCAGTTATAAAAGTGTTGAATATATCATTTAGCAGTACACCATTTACTCTAGAGGAGTCTAAGAGAGAGATTGCTGACATCTGATATTGTATCAGTTTTGCTTCCTCCAACCAGAATTCAGGTTTTTAATGTAAATATCCTAAAGTATTTCTTCCTCAAAGCCATTAAGTGTCCCTACTATACATATTGCATGTACAGCATGTATTCTAGAGGAGCCTACAACACAGTTTCTAAGAGTTATTCTTGATATTTTCTACTGTATCAGTTTCTCGAAATGTAAATATCCAAAATACTTCTTCATTAAAGCTATTAACTGTGCCCACTATATTTTAATTCCCCCCATATCATATAAGGTGATAAGTTCAAAGTACTATACTTCACATACCTTTCAAGCAATCATCGTAAGTATCATTTTGTAATAATGATGACAGTAGCATTTGGAAATTTCTGTAACCACAACCCCAACCTTTGTCACCAAAAGAGGAATGAAAGTGATCCACTGCGGCAGAAAGCCACACACGCCTGACATCTGTGGCAGCATTCTGGTAGTACCGGTAAAGCGCTTCAATAATCCCTAAAGCAGAAGAGAGAGTGAGAAGGTTTAGAAGAATTAGTTACTTTCCTATGGCTGCCTAATATATTTCTAATATCAATCTGTCCCTCAAACGCCAAATTTAAATTTTATCAATTCCATCTTTTTTATCTTTTTACTGATATAACCTTAGTTCATGTCCTGCCTTGCCATTAAATCAATCACTTCTAAACTTCAAGACAGCTTATCAAAAGGACATAGTATATTTTAGGGCTGTGCTCTGTAATCTTTTACATTTGTATTTATTTTAAATTACATATAAATTAGTGGTTCTTTAGTAACTCTTAAATATATGAACACTTAGAAATTAAAGAATGACACCAATTAAAAACAAATACCGTATTTGCCGGCATATAAGACGACTGGGCGTATAAGACGACCCCCTAACATTTCCACTCAAAATACAGAGTTTGTTATATACTCGCCGTATAAGACTACCCCCTCTTCCGCACACCTTCCACACACCAAATAAAAGGTAAAACAATATCAGATTTGATTTTAACATTTTAATTTATATTCAAATGCTTATGACATGCAGGAAAACTGTCACAAGGCTGTATGTAATCAAACATATACATAAAACAGTGCAAGTTTATTACCGGTAAACATACCGGTAATTCACTAAAGAAAACACACTCTATAGACTGGTACCGTAGATGCTTCTCAGGAACACAGGCAAGCAGCCCACAACCTAGAGGGACTGTCAATGATAGAAGTAAGATAACAAATAGAGGTAGAGAGCAAGTGCCGGGCAAGTCCCTAGCAA